AAGATGGAGGGGGCTTGAGTACACAAAGAGGGAAAGAAAGTGAAAGATACCCTTTTACCCAAAATTGAGCCTAAAAATCAAACCTCTGAAGCCCATGAAGACATCTAATGCTAAGAATAATGGCCACCAAAATCAATAATCATAATATGAATTAACTGCAGGTGAAATTAAATAATAGAACAGTCTGGAAAAAAAGACTTTAAGTAAGCATACTTAGGATGCTCAATGAGACTAATGAAGGAATAACATTTGTGAAAAGAACAGACAATGGGGGTGGGGGAAGCAGAAATGTAACAAGATAAGGTGGCTATGAAAAAGTACTTTCTAAAAAGAAATATAGTCAATTTCCATTTCTGGGAAGATGGAGTAGTTTCATGCTTCCCTATTCTTTCAGCAAAGCACAACTGAAAACAACTGAAAAAAAAAAAAAGGTGGAAGAAAAAAGGTAGACTGGCTAGATTGCAGTATTCTTTTGTATCATATAGCTCAGATTTGCAGCCAAAGAAGCTGGCAACCTGGAAGAGGCATACAAAAAACAAAAGCTCCTCCAAAAAGCCTGCCCTCTCAAGCCAAAGAATGAGGAAAGAGATAGCCTATGAAGATGGAATACTTAGACAATAACCACTCTACTCCAGCCAAATGCTGCAGAAAAATCAGTGGCCCCATCACTATTCGTGCCAGCAAAGGCTAAGTAAGGAGCCGAGACTTCCACACTTGCCAAGCTAAAATGACGTTCCCCACCCCACCCCCTGCCAGGGATGGTATCAGAGAAATCAAAAAATTTCCCCAAATTTGATGACATACATTAATCTGCGCATCCAAGAAGCTCAACAAACTCCGAGTAGGATACACTCAAACACCTAGACACATCATCACCACACTCCTGAAAGTCAAAGACAAAGAGAAAATTTCAAAAGCAGCAAGAGAGAAGAAAGTGATCTATATAAAGTGTCATCAATAAAATTAACAGTTTGTTCCTCGTCAGAAACCATGGGAGCCAGAAGGCAATGGGAAGATAGAATTAAAGTGCTGAAAGAAAAGGACTATCAATGAAGAATTCTTTACCCAGCAGAACTCTCTTTCAAAAATGTAGGGAAAATTAAGACATTTCCAGGTAAATAAAACTGGAGAGAATTCATCACTAGCAGACTGGCCCTACAAAAAATAATAAAGAGAGGTCCTTCAGACTAAAATGAAAGGACATTAGGCAGTAACTGGAATTCATATCAAAGATAAAGAGCCCCAGTAAAGGTACAAACATAGGTAAATTAAAAAGACAGTATAAGTGTATTTTTGTTTGTAACTCTATTTTCTCCTGTATTATCGAAAAGACAACTGTGTAAAGCAAAAATTACAAATCTATACTAATGAGCATACAATATATTCAAATGTAGGGACTTCCCTGGTGGCACAGTGGTTAAGAATCCACCTGCCAATGCAGGGGACACGGTTTGAGTCCTGGTCCGGGAAGATACCACATGCCACGGAGCAACTAAGCCCGTGCACCACAACTACTGAGCCCACGTGCTACAACTACTGAAGCTCACGTGCCTAGAGCCTGTGCTTCACAACAAGAGAAGCCAGCGTAATGAGAAGCCCATGCACTGCACTGAAGAGTAGCCCCCACTTGCTGCAACTAGAGAAAGCCCACACGCAGCAATGAAGACCCAACACAGCCAAAAATAAATAAAATAAATAAATTTATTTTTAAAAATGTAATTTGCCTGACAATAATAGCACAAAGCGGGTAAGGAGGAGATGGAGCTATTTAGAAGTAAAGTTTTCTAAACGGTTGAAATTAAGTTGGTATTAATCCAAACTAGATTTTTATAAGTTAGGATGTTAATTGTAATCCTCAGGGCAACCTTAAGAATATAATTCAAAAAATATGTGAAAGAAATGACAAGGGAATTAAAATAGTACAGTAACAAATATCTATTTTATATGAAAGAAGGCAGTAATGGAGGAATAGAGGAACAAAGAAAATAGGACATATAGAAAACAAATAACAAAATGGCAGATGTAAATCCTACATTATCAATAATACATTAAATGTAAATGGATTAAACATTCCACTTGAAAGGTCGAGATTGGCAAAATGGATTTTTTAAATGACCCAATTTGATGCTATCCACAGGAGGCACACTTTAGATTCAAAGACACAAGTTAGTTGAACAAAAGAATGAAAAATGATATACCACTCAAGCTAAAAAGAGCACTGGAATGGTTACACTAATATCAGACAGAACAGACTTCAAGACAAAAATTGTTACTAGAGAAAAAGAAGGGTATTTTGTAGTGATAAAAGGATCTATTCATCAAGACAACAATTATGACCATATATGCACTTGACAACAGAGCCTTCAATATCAATATTTATCTACAAATCTACGGTAATCAAGAATGTATGATCTGGCATAGAAGAATGGAATAGAATTGAAAGACTAGAAATAAATCCTAACATTTAGTCAATTTATTTGAAGGAGGGTGCCAAAACAATTTAGTGACCAAAGAATAGTCTTTTCTGAGACTGGTTATCCATAGCAAAGAATGAAGTTAGACCTCCTACCTCACACCCTATACAAAAATTAACTCAAATGGATCAAAGACCTAAATGTAAGAGCTAAAACTATAAAACTCTTAGAGGAAAACCTAGGGATTTTCTTTGTGAGCTTAGATTGGACAACAGTTTCTTTGATATGGCACCAAAGTACAAGTGACAAAAGAAAAAAATAGGTAAATTGAATTTCACCAAAATTTAAAACTTTTTATTTCAAAGGACACTGGCAAAAAAGTGAAAAGATAACCCACAGAATGGGAGAAAATATTTGCAAATCATATATCTGACAAGGGTCTAATACCCAAAATATATAAAGAATTCTTACAGCTCAATAATAAGAAAGACAAAAAACCCAAGTTTTTTAAATGGGCAAAGTATTTGAATAGACGTTTCTCTCAAGAAGATATACAAAGGGCACATAAGCACATGAAAATATACTAAACATCATTAGCCTTTAGGAGAATGCTAATCACAACCATAATGAGATATCACTTCACATTCCCCAGTATTGCTATAATCTAAAAGGCAGACAGTAACAAATGTTAGTGAAGATGCAGAAAAACTGGGACTCTTATACATAGCCGGTGGGAATGTAAAATGGTGCAGCTACTGTAAAACCGTTGAACAGTTTCTCAGAGCTAAACATAGAGTTTCTATATAACCCAGCAATTCCACTCCTAGGCATATGCCCAAGATAATTGAAAACACGTGTCTACATGAACATTTGTACATGAATGTTCACAGAAGCATTACTCATAATAGAAAAAAAAGGGAACCAACCTGCATGTTCACCAATTGATGAATGGATCAACAAAATGTGGTATCACAGTACAATGGAATATTAATCAGCCATAAAAAGGAGTGGAACACTCTTGTCCCTCAGTGCCACGGGGGACTGGTTACAGGACCCCCCATGGATACCAAAATCTGTGGGTGCTCAAGTCCCTTATATAAAATGGCATGGTATTTGCATATAACCTATACACATCCTCCTATATACTTTAAATCATCTCTAGACTCTTATAACACCTAATACAATGTAAATGTTATATAAATAGTGATAAATACAGTGTAAACACTATCTAAATAGTTGCCATGCACAGACAATTCAAGTTTTGTTTTTTGGAACTTTCTGGAAATTTTTCAAATATTTTTGATCCACGGTTGGTTGAATCCACAAATGCAGAACCCACGAACACAGAGGGCTGACTGTACTGGTGTGTGCTACCACATGGATGAACCTTGGAGGCACTATGCTAAGTGGAAGAAGTGAGACACAAGGGCTACATATTGTATGATTTTATTTCTATGAAATGTCCTCTGTAGGCAAACCCATAGAGACAGAAAGCAGGGTCCTGGTTTCCAGGCTCTGGGGAGAAGGAGGAAAGGGAGCGTGACTGCTGAAGGGGACAGGGTTTCTTTCTGGGGTGATGAAAATATTCCAGAGTTAGTGTTGATGGTTGCACAACATTGTGAATATACTAAAACCCACTAAATTGTATAGTTTTTAAAAGGGAATTTTATAGTATGTGAGTTAGATCTTTAAAAAAAAAGCCAGCTGCCATTCATGATCAAAAGTCACAGAAAAATGAGCACAGAGGGGAACTTCCTCGACTTGATAGGGAGTTTCTACAAAAACCCAATAGCTAACTTCATACTTAATGGTCAAGACTGAGTGTGCTTTTCCCCCAAGAATGGGAACAAGGCCAGGACGTTCCCTCTCACTATTTTCATTCAACATAGTGCTGGGAGTTCTAGCCAGAGCAATGAGGAAAGGAATAAAAGGAAATAAAAGACATTCAGATTGGAAAGGAAGAAATAAAACTGTCCTTACTTGCAGTTGGCCCGACTGTCTACATAGAAAATCCCAAAGCATTTACCAAAAACAACAATAACAGCTTCCTAGAACAATAAGTGAATTCAGCAAGGTCACAAGATGCAGGTGAATATACAGGAATCAATTTTATTTGTATATGCTAACAATGGACACAAGGTCAGCGAAATTTAAACTACAATACCATATACAATCACTCAAAAATACATAGATGTATATCTAACAAAATTTGTACAGGATTTGTATGCAGAAAACAATAAAACACTGATCAAATTAAATTTTATTAAATTAAATTAAAAATTAAATTTTAAAAGATTTAAATAGAGAAAGAGATGCACTGTGAAATAGTTTGGAAGAATCAACACAATAAAGAGTCAGTTCTCCCCAAAATGATATGCAGGTTTCATGCAGTGTCTATCAAAGCCCACGCAAGATTTATTTCTTTGGGGCGGGGGGGTGTGCTGGGCCTTGCCACTTTATTGACACCAAAGATCCTAGGCTCTGCTGGGACTTCCGGGGGGTCTGACATCAGGCAGCCTCTGCCTTTGAGATGGGGTAGCTCAGCGGGTACAGCGCTAGAGCCGGCTCAGTTCTGGGTCCTTAGCCTCAGTCCAGGGTGGGCAGCTGCCTTTCCAAGTCACAGCTGGTCAAGCACAGGTTGTAGAAGGAGTTGGAGTCAAAGGCTGAGCTTACCTCTCGCCAGCCCACCCACCCAGCAGCCTGTAGTTCACGGGGGTTTTTCGGATCACCCCAGCAGTGAGGGTCCAATACCCGGACGTAGGCTTCCGTGCCTGGGCCAAGCAACGCCTCTGACTGGGCATCCGCATCCCCTCCAACCATTACAGGCCCCCCCGGCCCCTGCCAAGTGGGAATAGAGCCTCTCCAGTTCCCCCTGAAGCGCTGCTCCATGGGGCACGTGACATGGGCGCCCTTGGGGACCCCCGAAGTGGTCAAGGCAGAGGCTGGCCTCTACACAGCCGATCCATCCCCGAGAGCCCCGGAGCCCGGGGGGGCTTGTTGCCCATGTCCTCCAGGGCCGCCTGCACTGCAGCCGGTTCGGGTACGCCCGCTGGCCGGCCCTCTGGCCACGAGCACAGCGTTTGCAGAGTGCGGTAGCCGCAGCCCCGGCCCCGGTCGTCCACGCCGTCGCAGCCGTAATGGTAGTAAATGTAATGGCCCGAGAGGAGGGCCAGGCGAGCGCGGCCGCGGCCGGGCGGGGCCAGGCCCAGGTGGACGTCCTTCAGCGGCTCCAGGGCGGTGGGCGGGAGCAGCGGTCGCCGGGCCAGGCAGATGCGTCCTGCAGGCGGCGCGGGGCGAACTCCAGGGAGAACTCTGGGCTCTAGCGCTTCCTCTCGGCCCCGAGTCTTGGGCGAACTGTGGGCAGGCGAAAGGGCCCTGGGGTCGCTCTCCCCCGACCCCAGGCGCGCCCCGCGGCGATGAGCCAAGATTTTTTGTAGATATACAGAAGATTATTCTAAAATATATATGGAAAGGCAAAGGACCTAGCTAAAGGAAATAGCTAAAACAATTTCGAAAAAGAATAATGAAGTGATGAGATATATCAGTCTGCCCGATTCAAAACTTGTAATATAGCTACAGTAATTAAGACTGTATTATATTGGTGGAGGGATAAACATATAGATCAATGGAGCAGAATAGAGAACCCAGAAATAGACCCATACAAATATGTCCAACTGATTTTTGACAAAGATGCAAAAGCAACCCAATGGAGGAAAGATAGCTTTTTCAACAAACGATGTTGGAGTAATTGAACATTCATAGGTTAAAAAAAAAAACTTAATCTGTCTCACATCTTATGCAAAAATTATCTCAAAATGGATCACAGACTTAAATGTAAAATATAAAACTTTAAATAGATAAAATCTTTGCAGTGTGGGGCTAGGCAAAGAAATCTTAGATTTGACACCAAAAGCATGATCCATAAAAGGAAAAATTGATAAATTGGACTCCATTGCAATTTAAAACTTTTGCTCTGTGAAGAACTCTGTTAAGAGTCTGAAAATACAAACCAGAGATTGGGAGAAAATGGCCTCCAAAAGACGGGTATCCAAAACATAAAGAACTCTCAAAACTCAACAGTTGGGTTTCCCTGATGACACAGTGGTTGAGAGTCCGCCTGCCGATGCAGGGGACACGGGTTAGTGTCCCGGTCCGGGAAGATCCCACATGCTGCGGAGTGGCTGGGCCCGTGAGCCATGGCCGCTGAGTCTGCGCGTCCGGAGCCTGTGCTCCGCAACGGGAGAGGCCACAGAAGTGAGAGGCCCGCGTACCGCAAAAAAAAAAAAAAAACCTCAACAGTAAAGCAACAAACAACCCAATTAGAAAATGGGCCAAATACGTGATGAAGAGACATTTCACCCAAGAGGCTATACAGATGGCAAATAAACACATGAAAAAATGTTTACCATCATTAGCCATTAGGGAAATGAAAATTAAAACCATAAAGAGATACCATTACACACATATGAGAATGGCTAACATAAAAAATAGTAACAACACCAAACGTCAGTGAGGATGCAGATAACCCGGATACGTTGCTAATGGGAATGCGAATCTGCCCACCCACTCTGGAAAACCGTGCGACAATTTCTTTTCAAAACTAAGAGTGCAACAGCCATAGAACCCAGCGATTGCACTGCAGACACTTATCCCAGAGAAATGAAAACGTCAGGAGGCACTGAGGTGGAAGGGAAGTGGGTGTGACTATAAAAGGGCAACAGGAGGATCTTCTGGTTCTTGACTCTTTCAAGGTCAACATGTTGGTTGTGATGGTGCACCGTGAGTTTGTAAGACGTTACCATTGCGGGGGATGGAGTGAAGGGTACACAGTTCTCTCTGTATTGTTTATTACACATGCACGTGAAGGGGGCTTTGCTAGGGAGGACATCACTGAGAGTGGAGCTGGGGGGACGTTTTCCATACCTTCGAGTGGAATATCCAGCTGGCTCTGGATGTGATCTTGGAGTTCTGGGGAAAGGTCCCTTGGAAAGTTATTTATAGACAGATGGTGGTTCAGACCAGGAAGAGAGCGTAAACGAAAAGTAGCAAAGGGTTGAGAGCTGTGCAGTCCATGGTTTAGAGGTCTAGGAAATGAGGGGGACCTGCTGAAGAGTGGCCAGAAGGGAAGAAGGAAACCGTGGAAGCCAAGAATAGGCTTCAGGGAGGAGGAGAGGTGGCCACCATGTCAAAGTCTTCTCATGGGTATGGTCACCGTTCAAACGGGCATGCTTTTGAGAGCTGAACAAGTTGATAAGATAATTAAACTAATGCGTTTTCTGAAACTTTGTTTATGGCCCAACGAATTAGTTTATTATTTTGTTCTATGGCCATGACACTGATATTTTTGTGAAGAATGCTCTTTTTTTCAATATGGTCTTATTATTCTTTGTTTTGTCATAACATCGCTTGCAGTCTTACTCGGAGTTGCATTCTGTGATGATAAATTTAAATCTGTTGATATTTTCCACCAACTCTTCTTTGTAGACTAGATTTTAATTGAGAAAGTCCTCTTCCTATGGGTACTAAGATACCAGGTAAACTCAGAAAAACTTTAGTAAATAGAAGATATTCTCAATTCTATTTTTTAAATAAATTTATTTGTTTGTTTACTTGTTTATTTATTTTTGGCTGTGTTGGGTCTTCGTTGCCGTGTGCGGGCTTTCTCTAGTTGCGGCGAGCTGGGGCTACTCTTCGTAGCGGTGTGCAGACTTCTCATTGCGGTGGTTTCCCTTGCTGTGGAGCATGGGCTCTAGGCGCACAGGCTTCAGTAGTTGTGGCTCACGGGCTCTAGAGCTCAGGCTCAGTAGCCGTGGCGCACAGGCTTAGTTGCTCCGCGGCACGTGGGATCTTCCCAGACCAGGGCTCAAACCCGTGTCCCCTGCATTGGCAGGAGGATTCTTAACCACTGTGCCAGCAGGGAAGTCCCTCAATTCTATCTTTTAATTGAATGTATAAATATTCCAGCTCAAATAGCTCCATAAGTTGTCATTTTAACTCAGTTTTGACAGAATAGGCCACCGTTCTATGACAAATATTTTCATAAGCCAAAACGTTCCCTCAAATTTTGTTTATTATTCTTTTGAGTGTTTCATCAAATTTAAAGACTGCAAAATTGTAGGCCTTCTTGATTCCCTCCCATTCCAGTACAGAATATAAATTTATCCAATTAAAACTAGGAATCTCACCAAAAGATTCTTCCCACATGTTGAGATATTCCAAAAACAATTATGGAATGTGAAAATCAGAACTTGAACACATTGGAATGCTCAGCATTTAATTCCTTCAGCTCCTCCCTTGCTTTTGTAGAGATGAATTTCAATGTTTCCCCGTTGGCAAGGATTGTTTCTAAAAATTACAATTCGCTAAAGTTTCAAAGCTCAAAATTCTTGACACCCATTTAATGAATACTTTGATTAAAGATCTCCAGCAGATTCTGAACACAGTGTAACAAAATAATTAGAAGACTCGTTTACAGAAAGTTCAATCCCATTCTAAGGCACTAGGTTGATGTACAAAGTAGGTCTTCCAAGGCACCAACATTTCAAGGGTCTGATTAATGGCCGCAGAAAACCCAGAAAGGAAACACCAGGAGCCTGAGGTCTGTTTTTGTATCCAATACTAACTTTGTCACAAAAATTTTTGTAGCCTAATTTCTCAAATGGCATGTTTGAAAATACTTCTCATTGTTGATGGATAAAATATCACAGATTATTTGGGTGCAACTAAGAATAACATGTTCACTGCAACCAATCCCAAGTACATCCGTGCTCCACTGGTTTTTTAGTTTAATGAAAACACGGCTTTTTCTCAGGACACTGTTATAAATCATCTCTGTTATCAAACTCTCCTTATTTACCTGGATTGAGTGTGTCTTTTGTTTTCTGCTTAGATCCAGGCTGATACTAATCCCTTCAGAAAACATCTTGGCATGTATCAGGAAAGGCGAAAATGGACGGAGCAAAAGTCCTGCCCCCAAATCTCATGCACAAGTGCTGTGGGAACCCTGTGTAAGACTGTCCGTAGCGGTGATGTTCATAACAGCAAAAGAACTGGAAATAACGCAAAAGCTCATCAACTGTAGGCTGGAAAATAAACTGGAATAATGTTTAGTAATGATTCTCAAATTTTAGCGTACATCGGAATCTCCTGGGAGGGTTGACCCCACCCCCAGAGTTTCTGATTCATTCAATAGGTCTGGGATGGACCCAAGAATTTACATTTCTAACAAGGCTTCTGGTGACACTGATGCGGCTGCTCTGGGGACCCACTTTGAGAACTGCTCCTGCAGAGCGATGAAAATCAATGAGCTACTCCTACAAGGATGAGTCTTCCAAACATCGTAATGAGTGAAAGAAGACACAAAGAACGTGTATCATATAATCTCTTTATACAAAGTTCAAAACCAGGAAAGACTTAACTTTATTTCTCATGGGTACATACTAGGTGATAAGTGTGCTAAGAAAAATGAGACAATTACTACTACAAACTTCAGGATAATAATACCCCAAGGCAGGGAAGGGGTCCATCACGAGGAAGAGATAACGTGCCTAGTCTTCTAGATTACAGGCAACAGAGGGGTTCTCAACCCGAGTAGTAATCACACGGACGTTTCCTTTCATAGTTATTTAATAAAGCACACACTTGTGTTTTGTGTGCTTTGTATGTGCATTATATTTCTCAACACAAAGTTTTAAAAAAGAGAAGGGAACCTGGGCAGAGAGAAAATTGGAGGAGGGAGATTGGCTAAGAGGCAGTGAGTATGGACACACCTCTTGCCATGAGTTTTACTGTGCAAGGGAAGGGGAGAGTGGGCAGTGGCCGGGGGAGGGAGAGACAGTGGGCTCAAGAACCACTTTATAAGATGGGAAAATAACATGATGTTTGTACGCTGATGTGACTAAGGAAACATTGATGAAGCAAGAGAAAGATGGTAGAATGGCCAGAATGAGGATGTGGAGTGGGGGAGGGACCTCAGTAGGAGAAGGATCTAGAGACAGTGGGGGAGGAGCTGGTCCACCAGGAGCACGGGAAGTCTTCCACAGTCACAGGAGAGAAGCAGAGGTGTGGGATGTGGGCAGGTGAGGTGGCAGGAGCTAATGGCATATCTCCTCTTGTTGCTTCTATTTTCCTGGTGAAAGAAGGAGTGTGTGAGCTTGCTCAGGTGACCAGAATAAGGTACCACATGATCGGATGGTCAAACAACAGAAATTCATTGTGCTGGAGACTGCAAGTGTGAGATCCAGGTGTCGGCAGGGTTGCTTCCTTCCGAGGCCTCGCTCCTCAGCTTCTATGTATGGTTTCACTCAGCATGTCTGTGTCCCAATCTCCTCTTCTCATGAGGGCACCGTTCATAT